CTCCGCTGGAGGGCCCGAGGGGCCCATCCAGCAACCTGCCTCCGCTGCAGCGCCACCACCTGCAGCACCGTTGCCTGCAGCACCGTTGCCTGCAGCACTGTTGCCTGCAGCGCCACCACCTGCAGCGCTGTTGCCTGCAGCGCCACCCTCCTCGCCTGGTCCAGCGTCCGAGTCTTCATCCTCATCTGGTCCAGCCTCCAAATCTTCATCCTTGCCTGGTCCAGGCTCCAGCTTCAGCTTCGCCTGGTCCAGCCCCAGCTTCAGCTTCAGCTTCGCCTGGTCCAGCTACAGCTTCAGCTTAGCCTGGTCCAGCTCCAGCTTCAGCTTCGCCTGGTCCAGCTTCAGCTTCAGCTTCGCCTGGTCCAGCTTCAGCTTCAGCTTTGCCTGGTCCAGCTTCAGCTTCGCCTGGTCCCGTGGCAGCCACGCCACTGTCCGGCCTGCACGTCCACACCCTGTCCGGCCACCTTCCAGGCCGTTGGCTGGACAGCGGCGACTGCCCTGCTCACGGCCGGCCTTCGGACCTGCCCTGTCGTCGCCGTTGCCTTCCGCCCGGTCGGCCTCCAGGACTGTTCTTTGGACTGTTGTGCCGTCAGCCTCCGGGCCGGCCGCCTGAACCGCCCGGATTTGGACTGTTGTACGGTCAGCCTCCGGGCCGGCCCCCTGAACTTTTTCGGAACTGTTTTCTTGGCCGGCCTCCAGACCCCCTTCGCCTGGGTCGCCGTCGTTGCCATGCGCACGGTCGGCCCCCTGAACTGTTTCCACATCGCCGCCACTGCCTTCTGTGTGGTGTGGTTTTTGAGTTTATTATATTATTTATCATTTCTAGTCTTTGGTTTCTTTGTTAGAGTTTTGTCTTATGGTTCAGTCTCTGTGTAATCCTTAGTTGCTGTCTCCCTTGTCGGTTATATCTCCGTGTCTGTGTCTGCCCTGGTCCCACGTCTCTGTTCCCTCTGTAGTGCCTGCCTGTGAGTCTGTATCTGTAAGTTCAGTCTGTGTTATGTTTCCTGTTTTACTTTGAAAGTATGTGTCTCATGTAAATGCGTCTGGTTTTGCTTCCTTTGTCTCGTTAGGCCTGATTTGCCCCAGCTGTGTTTCCCTCCTGTTACCCATTCCCTGATTGCTCCCTCTGTGTATTTAAGCCCTGTGTTTCTCTGTTTCCGTGTCACGATCTACCCTCATTTATGCTGTGTGTTCTGTCTGCCTGCTTATGTAAGTTTATTTGGATTTTTGTTACGTTTTGCCATCCAGTAATAAAAGCTGATTTTGAAGTACACTTTTGCCTGCCGTGAGTCTGCACTTTGGGTCCACTACTCCCGCCTGCACACAGCGACACATGTAGCATCCCCGGTTGAAAAGATGGTCTCTCAAACTGATGGTTCACAATCCTTTTATTAAACAGCCGTGTATGTGAACACACCGTAAGAGCTACAACATACAGAATAAAAGACTATTAGTAAATCAAACAGTGTGTTACCTTTAACCTTTTGACTTATTCATTAATCACAA